AGCTGTTCCCTGTTGTATAAATAATTAAACATTCACTGGACCAGAGAGAAGAAGTGGAAGATGGATTCTCCAGCCCCAGAGTCAGGACACTCAGGTGTGTGACGTGGGAAAGTCAAGTTATAGGTTCCTGCTCCAGTGAACAGCTAACTAGCAGCACAAACTGGACCAGCTCCAACCGGAGAGGCTGACACCACCCCCCCTTCACAAGACCATCCAGGACCTGCTCATCTGGGCATTTCCCTGAAACAGGGGAGAAAGGACATCAAGAGCCACCTGCAAAATCTGCAAGCATCTTAAATGCTGATATAAGAGCTGAGATGCCTCTGTGGGAAGAACCTGAGCTACCCCACATAAAACCTGAAACGTGAGCTGGGTCAGAAGGGTCCGTCTGGCTCCATGTTTGTCTCTAGCCTTGGCTGAAGGCAGGTGCTGGTGAAAGAGCAAACCCACAGGGTAAATCCTTAATGATACCTCCCCAGGACACACTGGGCCACCATGAGTGATGACTTTCCCAAGTGGATATAAACACCTGGTCACCTCTCTGGGGTTCCCCATGGATTATTCTTGCACCTTACCCAGTTAGCTCATTTTTGACGACCTTAAGCCCCTCATTTTTCTTACACACTGTGGCAGAGCGCTGCACATCCAGATCTGAGCTGGGCGATCCCTGGGGTGGCTGTGTAGGCTCAGAAGTGAGCACAACAACCCGTCCACAGGTTTACTGTTGTGCAGCACCAAGCACCGTGTCTGTCTGAAGCCCACAGGCACCGCCATTGCAGAGACCTGAGTGCTGGTTCTGTATTTCACACCCATAAGTCACACCAGCCTCTCTTGGTTTTCACCTGATGCTTTTCTTTAATGACCTGGTTGTGCAAGAGCATCTGGGATGATTTTTTTAGTCTCAGATCGGGTTTGCTTATTTTGCAAAAGGAAAGGGGAAAAGAAAAAGCATCTCTTTTTAATAAAGCTCTCAATATTTAATAGTTAACTTCCAGCACTGTCAAAAGATCTCTTAATTCCCTAGTCTGTTGCACTAACTTTAAAGTGGAGGCAAGCTGTGGAAAGAGAGTCAGTATCTTTAATAAGTCCCTCTGGTATATTTGGACAGAAAGGCAAGCGTCCAGGCCTTGATTGGTCTGAAAGAGGAAAACCCAAGCTAAGTTTAGGAACTTCTACTTCAGACATGAAAAACAGTGGGAGTATCTGAATTTGTCTGGATTGGTAGTTGAGCTAATGAAAAATGTTCTTCTGCAGACCTTCCCCAAAGGATATCCTTAGATTGCCTCAGCTGGTGGTGAGACTCAGCTGAAGCGAGTGGAGCTGCACGGGTGTTAAAAACTCAGTAATACACAGAAGATCAAGGCGCTCGTGTAGGCTCCTCATTAGGAAGGTTCTCAAGCACCTTTAAATGTGTTTGCAGTTCCCCTGACTCCAAGTGCTTAACACATTAAAAGGTGGAATGGCTTAGCTTTGGAAGCCCTGGAGACTTCAGGGAGAAGTCGTTTGACCTCCCTGTGTCTCAATCCATCCAGAACATGAAAGTGAAAGATAAACAGCACCTCGTTAAAAAAGAAATAGATAGTGTGACTGACCTGAGCTTGCCTTGGTAAATAAATTACAAAGCCATAAAACTGTTTGAGGAGCTGCTTTGTCCCTTTGAACCAACACCCACTTTAGACACTCTCTAAACACATCATGCTGGGGGTGTCGAAGTCATTGCCAAGGAGCTGTTATCGTTGCCTACCTGTCAAGCCCCTGCACATTCTCCCCGGGCTCGTGTCTGAGCTAAGGAGAAAGTAGAAACCAGTGATGAGAGGTCCCAATAAACAGCAAAAGAGAACGATTTACCCATGAGCTTTCTCAGCTCTTCTTGCCACACAAAAGCATCCCAAGCCTGAATTTATACCTGTGTCCTTCTCCATACCCACAGGACTCACCTTGATAGTTCAGCTACGCTGGGCTTTTAGATGCTGCTGCTCTCAACACTGCTTGCTGGGATGCCCCATGTCTCCTTGGTAGATAGCAGGGTTTGTGAGGCTGGCATGAATGACAGCAAAACAGTCAAGGACTGCTGGGAGAAGTGTCGGGCGAGTGACCTGGGATCTTGAAAATTAAAATAAACAGCCAACCAAGCAAGGTTTGGTGCTGATACGAGTCCATTTAAGCACTGAGATGACAAGAGTCGGTCTGAAGGAGAGTCAGTGCCTCTATTTTGGCACCAAATCAGAATGCAGAGTGGAAAAGTCCCATGGCTGCAAAAGCAAAATGTGTCTCTAGAAATGCATTTGTAGGGAGCTCACCACAGATGGTGACCGACAGTAATATAACAGGATTCAAAGTGGGGAAAGACTCCATGTATCACATGGCCAGATGAAGCACGATCCCCTGACACCACATTGCTTCAGAAGCAAACCAAATGCACAGCATCCCATCAAACATAGCAAACCTTCTGCCCCTTGCCCAGCGCTGCACGGATTGCTGCCCATGACCTGAAATTCTCATCCTGACCACCCCCTCACGCCTTGATAGTCTGTCTTTGGGAACGCAACCTGCCATGGGTCATATGAAGAGATTATTGTGGCCTAGACATTTAACTGTCCCCATGCTGCGTCCCATAGACAAGTAGGATGGCAATAGGATGTTTCCTCCTGTGTGACAACAGAAACCTTCCCACCAGATCATCATCCTGTCAAAGAGAAGGTGCAAACTTGCTTTTCAGAGTTGCAGAATCAGTGTTTAATGAACATGGGACTGGCAAGGAAAGATACAGTTTCTTGGCATGGTCTTTCTATACTACCTTTAAATTCTTGTGTAATTAAAAAGAAGCAAGGAAAAAAAACCCAAACCACAACAAGCACCACTTTTTATTGCTCCCCCCATGCTTAATGAAGTCCTAAAGACTAGAGAACTGTACAGACAAGACTCCTGAGAGTGGCAGACCAGAGCTTATGGGCTGTATCCAGTCTGCTGCTGGCGCTGCACACAGCCAACTGCTACAGCATACGACTGCAAGAGCTCTGTAAGTGATTCAGATCACTTATTATCCAGGACTGCAAGGCTTTGGTACAGTGAGTGGAGAAAAACAACTGTGGCCCTTAAATAAGGTACCCAAATGCCCTTTGTCTCGAGCAGGAGGTGTGACTTTGTGTGTCTTGTCAGCTCCTCTCCCTTCTGCTTAGCTGTGTGAGAAGCTCCATTGCCACCAGACCGTTGTAAGATGAGGATGGAGTTTTGTCTTTGATTTTAAATAGCTAAGCAGGGGTATCGTGCCTCCCAATGAGATGAGTTTGAAAAGCATTTGCAAAGCAGCTGAGTGGTAATCTCTGCTAGGCAGGATTGTTTGAGGGGAATCACATTTATTATTTCATTTTACTGTCCAGCACTGCAAGGTGTTGTCCATCTTGAGGCAGTGATTTATTGAGAGAAGTGCAGCAAAGGCAAACCCGCCAGACAGAGAGGGCCGGTTATAGCTACAGGATATAAATATTCTGTGACATGCAGTGCAGTGAAAGGAGCTGTTTGCTCAGGATGAACTAAAGCATTTTGCTGGCCTCCTGTCATGGCAACTCATCCTGGGCCAGACCCTGTGGGCTCTTGCTCAGCAGGGTTTCTCGATGCTATCAGTAGTGGCAGGCTTCCCTCCAAAGGCCTACCGATTAAAAACCCCCTT